AAACTACGCTCCTACTTGGCCCCAGGGGGGGGGGCCGGGGAGGCCCTGCCGGGTCCTGCACACCCCCAGCTCACGTCCCGCCAGGACCGGGCTCTGGACTCGCTGCAGCCTCCATCCACTGCGCGCCTTCGCCCCGCTCACGCTGCCATGAGATCCAACAGCAGCTGGAGCTCCCCTGTCCCCGCCGCGCCAGCACAGAACCAGACGCGTCTCTAACAGGTTCCTCGGGCACGCTCGCAGGGGGATGCCGGCCCGGAGGTGGATATAAATAGCCGGATCTCGAGTGCTGCACCAGTGCAGCATGGGACGAGTGCTAGAGCGCTTCAGCGCTGCCAAACCTGTAAGCAAGTGAGATGCACTGAATTACAAGGCGAGGGCAGTTACTATGGCACGCCCGGGGCCGGGCACAGCTATCCATACTAAGCAGCCGAGCACAAAACAGGCAGGCATTGAACCAGGGACTCGTTTCCAGATGAGCTCTCTGTCCTCCCAGCCTGCTCCGCCATATCAAACACAAACAAACCACAAAAGCACACACAAACCCCCAGCACCGCTCCTTCTCCTGCGCTGCTTTAAGGAATCCTGGCAACCAAAGCAGGGATTATGGAGCTGGAGGTTCCTGCAGCACCCATGGAGGCTGCAGCGCAGGCTGCAGCATGCCCGCAGCAAGGCTGTGCCGCAGCCCGCTCCTCGCTGCCCTCCGTGCACCAGCACAGCCCATCCACACACTGCTCCAGTTCAGCTTCCTGGGTCCCCTCAGTGGTCCCGGGTTCCTGGGACACACGCAAAGAGCCGGATGTCTCAAACATAGGATGTGATGTGAGAGCTGCAGCCGGGACCTGCCTGGGAAAGACTTGTGTCTGTTCACAAACCTGGCGACCCCGCGCCTGGGCACCACAACCTTTGGCACAGGCTTCCCTGGCAAGTCTTGGAGCGGTCATGGATAGGAAGGGGCACAGCTCTGCACTGAGCAGAAGAAAAACACATGCAACATCCCCAGCACAGGGATACCAAAACTAGAACAAACTGAGACCACACAGCTCACATGAGCGCTTGCTCAAGGCCAGCACCGCGCACACAACCCCCTCTCCAAAGGCAGCCCTGGGAAGGCCCCTGGAACCTCTGTGCCAACAAGCCACCTGCCTGGAGAAAGGCAGGAACGGGCTGAAAAGCAGCCCAAAAGCAAACCTGGGCTGGCTTCTGTTGTCCTTTTGGAGAGCAATCAGAGAAGTCTCTCCCACTCCAACTTGCTAGAGCTCCTGCCCCAGTAAACAGGGAGCCCCAGGCACCCCCCATGTGAGTGAGGGCCTTGAAACCCTGAGCGAAGGTCTCAGGAGCCAGCACCAACTTTCAGACCACACCATCATCAGTAACTTGTGTTTTTCTGATGATTTTTGAAGGAGTTTAGACATACTGACAACTTCAACTCTTCCTCCTTACCAAGGCACCTCTGGGAAGAGATGAGATCTCCTCCTGGTGAAGAACCTGGGCGGGAGGTCTCATGAAGCATTTCTTCAGCTCAAGCCAAAGGAAGTTCAGAGCAGACACAAAGGCTGGTGTCAGAACAGCAAATGCAAATTATGTTTTAGCTGAATAATAAATTAAACAAAAAATTAGTTTAATGAATGTAAATAAATTGGCGGAATGAATAGGCATCAGCTCCAGAGAGGGCCCTGGTGGAAATGTTTCTGCAGGACATCCTGGCAGGGCAGGATGGAGGCACCACGGAGGTGTCCCCTCCACCTCCCCAGCGGAAACCACAGCTTCCCAGAGACCGCCAGCACTTGAGGTGCAACAAGCACTTCTTTTAATAAGGGCCCACAGTGAAGTTGGAGCTGCTCTACAGCCATCATTAACTCAAATTGGCTGTAACCCACCTGTGGGTACAGGAATAAGCACTGCATTTGTTTTACAGCAGCTTTACCACACTGGAGACTGACTCGCACAGTGGGGCTGCAGCATGTGGTGCTCTCCAGGGATGATAAGTGGGGAAATTATTCATTCCCAGCTCTTGTGCACCCACAGTAAAATTTGGCTGGATAAACCTAAACAATTCAAGCCACATTCCAGCCTAGTTAGAAGTTTGTGGGTTTTCTGTGTTCTATGGATAGCGGGACATTTGCATCGCAGCCATGCCCCAGGGCACTTAGGGGGTCCCACAGCTGCTGGCTCAGGCATTAAAGCACTGAAATGCCTGGTGCTTTGCGTCTGGCACCCTGAGATACCCACACTGTGCTCACCACATCTGGGAACTACATTCAAACCCATCTGTAAACCTTCTATCTGGCCAAAACTTTGGAAACTTAGTCCTGAAACTAGCTGGCTGCGTGATCCTGCTACAGCAACGTGCAATTCAAACACCACCGAAATGGGGAGCAAAGAGTAAGGCATAAGGCAAAGTGCAAAGATCAGCACCAACAAAACTAGCAGCTCTGTTAGGAAAAGCACATTTCTCAGATTTCAGGAGAGTCCAATGACGGAATCACATTTCAGAGAGATACCGAGAATCAGTCGATAATTCTCCAAGTACGTGTGTTTGATTCTGGCACATACCTCGGGTTCAGAAAGCCACCGACGCAAAGCAAGCCCAGGACCATGACCTATCCTGTTAGACTCTGCATGCAGCAGAGCATCAGGCTTGCAGACAGAAGCACCACAGCTCCGCAGGGGAGTCTCCAGCTTCACCCCAAGCTACCGCTGACACATGTCACCACAACCACAGTGGCTCTGGAGAAAACTCCACGCAGCACAAGCCTGGAAAGACCAATTGCACCAGTTCCAAGAGCCCTACAGAGCTCTTAACATGGCCGAGAGCCCAGAGGTGACGGCAGGGAGCTGAGGGCAGGGTCTGCGGGGAGGTCTGATGGCTGTGATGTCCTCAGCAGCTCCCGCTGCCTTCCTGCATCCCGTGGCACAGACGTGCCAATTAGCCCACAGCCTCCCACCCATCAGCCCTGCGCCAGCCCCAGGGAAACAGGCTGGGCGGCTGCTCCCATGGCTCTGTGAGCTGGGAACCTCACCCATCCCACAGAGACCCCTCTGACAGTGCCCACTCACAGGGCACCCTGCATCACACAGCTTGCTAACAGGCAACATCCCCGTTACCACTTCCAGTCTCACCCGAGCAAGCAGCAGGAGGTCAGCTAGTAGAGAGCCTGGGAAGGAGGGCTGAAGTCAGGCTAATCTGACCTGCAGGAGCTCCAGGGAAGGAGGACAAGAGTCACCGTCCTGCAGTTTTGTGTTGTTCTTTTCTAAAGAAGGAAAGAACCCAGATCCCCGCTCATCCCAGACTCACTGATGTTAAAGAGGGGGAACACAACAGAAAGCTCAACTGGCAAATGAGTATGTGCAAACTCCACTACATCAGCCACGCTCTTGTGGGAGGTGAGAACCAAGCACTAACCCTTAGACAGCCTTGCTACTCCTGGCAAGAAACAACCTTCTTCCAAAAAGGCACAGCTACTGCCATCACGGGAAGAGCTACGCTCTGGTTTTCGTCCTTTGCACCCTGTCCAAGCACAAGTCACTTTGGGAAGTTACACCGTGTGTTGGTGCTACTTCTCAGACACAAATTAAACACCCCATGAACTTCAGACCTCTAAAGCTTCTAGAAATAACCACTTTCTAATACAACCCATAGAGCACTACGCAAGAAAGCAAAGCGTGCGCTGGAGAGCTGCAGCAGGAGCGGGGTGAGCTGCCAAGCTCCGTCACCTACAGACGACGAAGACAAACACAGGGCTCTGCGACACGGTGCTGGGTTCAGTGTGCACAAGGCGGTTCTGTGGGTGGATTATTGAGGTGCTCCTGACCTACTTACTTACACTTCCAGCTGGGAAACCCAGGAGCAAGGCAGAGCAGCCGTGTCCAGCGGGAGCTCAGCTCTCATCCCACTGGCAGAACCGCCCCGGACACCGTCCCCAGGGTTCCCATCCCCCTCGCACACAGATGCTGTGTTATCACACTCCTTTCCTCTCCTTAACCTTGGAGCAGTGATCAGATTTCTCTTGCACAACATTCCTCCGATTCTCCCCCCGACGCCTGTTACAGCTGCATATAAAAAACCCCCGAGTGCCAGCAATTCAGCCTGTTCCAAAACACCAACGGGCCTCCAAGGTCGCGCCACAGACAGTGATAGCAGATCCCGAGATTAAGAATCAGCCTCCTGACCTTGGTACTAACACACGGCTACACTTGCCGCCACAGCAGTTTTCCACAACCACCTGCATTCCCTGCTTTTCTAACAGGAGACTTGCCTTAAGATACGGCTGCCTGGGAAGAGCAGGGACGGAGGAACCTAGCTATAAAAAGCAAATCTCTGGGCACGCCAGGGTTGAAAAGCATTTTGTGGTAGCTAGAAGCCCTGCTCAACTTGCATGAGACAAACTTGTCGAAGGCAGTGACAACTGCAGGAACACAAGTAATCCAAGAAACACTGCACACAGTGGCCATCTCTTGATCTCGTGCTAGCTGATAAGAAAAGTAACTACACCTATAGCTGCCCCGCTCAGAAATCCTTTCAGGAAGTTCATGTTTTTGTGTTTCTACACTGAAGACAGAATGGCCCCAACAGTTTTGTCTAGCTTAGAGATAGAGAGCAGCGGACATCAGCCTTCTCACCTTTAGAGGTGAAGAAAACACCTCTACAAGTGGGTAAGCCCTGACACCGGGCACAGCAGCAGAGTGCATTTCCACACCAACTGCTGTCCTCAGACGGAGCAGGGTACCCACCATGGGCAGCAGGTACACTAGAGCAGAGGGTGATTCTCCCTGGCAGAAAGAGAGGCTGGGATCCAGAGCCTGGGGACAACATGGACAGGCTGCTCCCAGCTCCACCGCAGCACCTCTGATCCGGGGAGGATTCTTCCACCTC